TGTGTCTGAGCACAGAGAAGAAGCAGGGGTGTAGGAGGAATTCTTGCATTCTTCAGGGCATAAAGTCCTCCCTGACTTCAGCTCCCGCTGTGTGGCCAGAAAGAGGGTGCAGTCATGCCACTTCACCCTGTCTGGATCCACCCCTGGTGGTATTAAACTAAAAAGAAGGGGGGATAAGTTATTCTGTATTTACTCAAATTTAAGATGAGGTTTTTTTCCCATTCAGCCCCAGTGAAGTCAAGCCACGGTGACCCCACAGCTCAATATTACTCAATATATGCATGTACCCCAGATACCCTATATAAAGTATCCATGTGCTAAGTAGTGCACCAGTAGTGCCCTGGGTGTTCTTGTCAAGTCCTGGGATCCTTCAAAAATATATGTGCAGATGAGGTGCAGGGCAACCCAGTACAGCTCCACCTTATGGAGGGCAGAGCCACACTAATCATATACAGCAGGCTGAGAGAGGCTCCAGTGGAGGGATTCTGGGTTAACTGTGTGAAGTCGCATTTAGTGATGTTTACCAGACATTTAAGGCTGGCTAAAAAACAGGACTCATTGGCAATAGGAGAGAGGTACAGCTCAGCTATGGGAGTGAAGAGGAAGTAAAAATATTCAGTGTGGTGACTCACCATGACTCAAAAAGAGTTGTCACTAAGGGGGACTGAGCTTAGCGGGTATTATTATGTGTATCTTATTCAGATGGGCTGCAACCCTTTTAGATAAGATTAAATGCGTCATTTTTAGCTCCTGTCACTATGTTTAGCCAATATAGACAATGTGTTTTATACTTATGCTCAGTGCTGGCTGTGTTTAATCAACTTCAGTTTCCATTACTGAGCACATGCTACTTTTGGCAGCAATTTTGCAATAGACAGTGTATTTCACAAGGTCTCCCTGTATGTGAATGTATCATGGGAGGCTTTTTTTTCCCTATGTTGATTGGGAGGAGGGGGAAACCTCATTTTATATTCGAGTACATGCAGTATGTAGATACTGAATCGGAAGAGGTTTGTATCTGCCTAGTGTTGTGTTTTAGAGTCACCTCACCCACCAGTCAATCAGGAGGGGCTTCAGTTGGCTGACAGGCACCATTGTACCACTTCAAAGAGGAGTCTTCCCCAACTCTTACTCTGGAATCTTTTGCTAGCTGACACTGGCTAAGCTCATTTTTTCAAATGTTTCTCTTTCATGTTTCTTATTAAGGTATTTGAATTTATATATAATTTAAATTTAGCAAATACTGTATTCTAGTGACTACCAAAGTTTGTAGTCACTCAGATGCAATATTATTTGCAAGTTGCAAGCTAATATGGTTTAATATGACATTTGTTCTTACCCCTATTTGGTTATTTCTGCCTTACGCATAACCTACCCTGCAATTTTCCCAATTATTTTTTAACTTCATTTATCTGAGTGTGTTTGATTACCTGTGGTATTTCATAGAACCAGGCTGAAGAATGTTTCCATTCATTGATCAAAACATTCGATCATTAAATATATCTCTTCTGTTAACACAAATAAATCCTATTTTGTGACGTAGGTGGTGTCTCTGGTGCAGTTACTCAGTGATCCATTCTACAGGACACTTGAAGGCTTCCGCATGCTAGTGGAAAAAGAGTGGCTCTCTTTTGGTCATAAATTTAGTCAACGTAGTAATTTGACCCTCAATTGTCAGGGTAGTGGATTTGCTCCTATTTTCTTACAGTTCTTGGATTGTGTGCATCAGGTAAGCATAATAAATCTAAATCTACTCATTGTTTAAAAAATTTGTTCCAGAATGAAATTGTGCATACCAACATTTCAGATCTATAAGTAGAGTTAGTGCTTTAAGGGAGAAACAGAGACTTCCTCCTTAGGAAGACTTCCTAACCCCTATTGGAGTAAGTGACCGGCTTCAGTACAGCGTGGGAAAACAGGGATGTTGTTACTAGAAATGTTTAAATGATAAATAATTTCACAGGGACAGTTTGCATAATGGATCATCTAAGACAGTGGTTCTCAACCTTTTTAGACTCAAGGTGCTTCTCATTGATTTCAAAGCACACCTTGTAAAATTTCAGCTCTTAATTTGCACTCATTTTTGTCTACAGAAAAATTATAAAGCAATTATTTTGTTACAAAGATCTCAGAAAGACCACAACAAGGGAGAATATTTGTAAAACTGTGGGTTCCTATTTGAAATCTTTGGGTTTATGTTGTAATCATGTTTACACACCCAAAAATGCTTACATTATGTGGCACCCTGCAGCACCCTTGGATCTCAAGGTATCCCAGGGTACAACAGCACCTTGGTGGAGAATCACCAGGGTCATATACATATGAATTTTAAGTAGAACTCTGACGTAGATACAAGCTTCAGATTGTGCTCCCTGCTGAGCCCCGCAGCTGGAATGCTACAAAATCTCCACAAACACGTGCAGCAATATGTTTTGCAGCCAGGGCATGCAAGTGGGTTGCTCAGTCCTGTAACTCTGCTCCTCCCCCCACCAAAGAAGGGGAGCCTGTTAGTGAGCCTTCTCATTGGCATCCTATGGCCCTGCCCACTGAGCCTTCTCACTGCAGCCCCCTGGAATGATAGGTTGTCATTCATTGTACAACAGGGGCTACAGCTTTGCTTCCCACCCTTATGTGGGTGGTGATGGGCTGTCAGTGAGCATGCCACAGTCCCTGACTGCTTTCAGTTCCCTGGAACTAATGGGACCAAGGAAACCAGAACACTCTGAGTGTCCAACCCCCTCTCCTCAAGACTGGGAGGGTGGAGAAGAGAGCTAAGCACTCTAGGATGCTGTGAGACCTAGGAACGCCCTGTTCCCCTGCAATGCGCTGTGTCATATGTGGCACTACAAAATGTAGCACTACATAGAATTTGCTGTTTCATCCAATAACATTTACATAGCACTGCAGGTGGCATACACATCTGTCTGTTCAACTTGTGTAGTGCTACAGAGGTATTTGTAGCATTACAGATGTAACATTGGCACTTGGCTCATGAGAGAATGAAGCCATAAGAGCAGCATGCCAGATGATCATGCCTGGAACTTTATGACCTGTACCAGCAGCCACATCTTTGACTGTGGAGCTCACCTGCTGCCTCCTCTTCCTCCCTGCAGGTTGTAGGTAGAAAGTACGAGACAAAGCACAGAGTATATTATAATTGTTGACCTAAGTTCTCTCTTCTGCTACCACCTCTAAAACAACCACCTTCTTCCTCCTATGGGGATCCCTACTTCTAGACTGAAGCTTCTGGGGAAAACAGACCACTATCTGAGTCATGGAATAGAGATGGATAGAACTTGTGCTCCAGGAGCAGTACTTTGAGAACCTTAAAAGGGGCCCATGTGGGTAACTGGGAGCAAAATAAAATGAAAATCTTTGAGCACTGAAAGAAATTGCTAGCCACTCAAACATTTAATTCCATCTTTTCCTTGGTAAATGTTATCTCCTTCTTCTCAGGTCTTTCTGAATCATGTTCTTGATGATGATATTTTAACAGACACTCCATCACACAAAAACCTGTATTTCCTGTCTTTTGTCTTTCTTTTTGACCTGTGCACCTCGTTGTCTGTGCATAGCAAAATGCTTTAGGTTAAGAATATGTTACAGTGTCAAAACTATGAGCAAATGATATAACAGTAGTTAATGTAAATTTTAGAAAATCAGTTTTTTAACCCAGCATGTTTTGTTGCTGATTTAACAAATCGTTAACAGTATTGTTCTAAATGTGAGATCATCTATGTTAGTACATACATCTGCACAAGAACTCACTGGGGAGAATCAGTCTTAATTATTTCAGCATTTCTGCTAAAAGCAACTTTCATTAGTTTATATACAGCTAGATGTTACATTGTGCAATCCTTTCATACTAGAGTTTAACCAAAAAATTAACACATCAATTTATATACTCAAATTAAAGGAAAAACTCCAAATAAACACATTAGAGAAACTTTTGGCCTCTCCTCAAACCTATTTTTAACAATTTTAGTTTTAATATCTTGACTGTAGTGAGACAACTACTATAGAGCCATTACATTTGTTATTGATTCAACTGAAATTACAAAAAAAAATTAAGCAGTGATTCTTAAATTAGAAATGCATCATCTTTTAAAAAGCCATTGTTTATGCCAATATCTCCAGGTGTCAGCTGAATTATTAATGCTAAATCATTCTTTCACAATAGCAACATCTGGCAGATATTCTCATTACTTCTAAGAAGACTGGGCTGATTATTGTGATATCATTACAGGATGCTTTCCTTCTTTGCAGACAGTATCTGGTATTTTCTTAAATGGAGTTCAGCTGAATGATGAACAAATAGTTATCTTTGTCTAGAATTTACATCTGACAAAATCCTCTGTCTTTACAAATGGTTTTATTAAAACTCCCTGGCTAAAGGTCCAGTTCTGCACACAGTTACTTTCACGAGATATTTAGCAGTCCCAATGAAGGCAGTGACACTGCTCCTATAAGTGGTGATATGCACTTATGAAAGTGTTTGCACAAACAGCCCCTTGGTGACTGCTACCTATTCGCTAAGATATTTTAGGATTTTTTTATTATTTAAACCAAGTTATTATTTCTTTATTTGCACCAGAATTGCAAAACTATAAGATATTACAGAAATGGAAAGGGATGAAGCAAAAGTAAGATGACAAAGAAACATTCAGCAGAGAACTGAGTGAATGGGGACATCATGATCTGAAAAGTAATTTTGGAGCATTGGAAGTCTTTCTGTGTCACTGTGTCAGAAATATCTAGATAATTTATATACTGGCAAAAGATAGGTCCAGATTTTCAAAGGAGCTTAACAAGCGGCACATATCTGTAGTCTTATCTTTCTGGTTGTATATGTGAAAATTAAGTAATTAAAGAACATTTCAGTCATATATAAATTTAGGATCTAATCTTTTAGAAGTCAAGGAAAGCCTTTCCCCAGACTGCAGTAGGAGTAGAAGCTATTAGATGGTAACTAAATGTATTTACAGTATAATCTTTTTAAATCAAATGGTTAAGTAGCTTGCTGTGATGAATATCATTTCATTTTGTGTTTATTTTTAATTGCTCAAACTAACCCAACCACCTTCTATTCCTAGTTTGTAGCTGTCCATAGATTAGTCATTTCTGATTGTCTGAACTGCATGTTATTTAGTGTTTTCCCATAATCGCTCCCCTTTGATGTAAATTTTGTGAATTGTACTGCAGCTAGAGAAATCAACATTAAGACTAGTCATTTTCTAATCTCCAAGGAGGTAGAAATCAATTATTAAAACAGATACAATTACAGTAATTTACCTCTTTTCATACAAAAAGTGATTTAGATTACATTTTCCCTCAATAGTAAATTGCACTATCATAATTTCTGCAGTTACTTTAAAACCAAAAGTCTCAGAAAAAGTTTAGTTGTGAAATTCTTATTTCATTTTCAACACCCAGATCCATGCCAGGATTTCTATAAACAGTTTATTTAATTGTGCTTTAAATTCAGTAAACTACTTGTGGTGCACAGGTAGAAATTATGACCCTGTAAGATTCATGACTAACGATAAAGTATGTCCTATTAAAATGCCACTTCCTTAGCCAAAGCTTTGAAAAATTCTCACTTCCTAACATAAGGAAATAGTACTACTCTATGTATAGAGTGTATGCTTATAAACAGAGTGTTTGTAATCTGTGGATTTAATTATGAGCTGGCTGCTCAGAATGAACGTACAGTGTCACCTCTTTTTAATCTAAAGAAAGGCAATAAAATGTTATAATCCCAATGTAATTATTAGTTTTATTTTTTTCCTTTTCATAAAGCAAATTTATAAAAAGCTTTATGAAACAACCCCTCTTTTCTCTATAAATCTGTCTTCTGTGATTTCATTCTGGAAAAATAACATCATTGAAAGTAGAGATGGGTAGTTAGATGTGCTGGTCTGATGCCAGCCAGAAGGTAAGGTAGAGATGTACCTTACAACCTAACTGAATCAGAGATGCATAAACTTTCATAAGCATGAGCAAGAACTCACTCCATTAGATGCTAATGAAAGGGCATTATTCAAAGTAGTAGGCTACATATTTGTATTGTTACAAAAGCTGTGTGAGAGTTTAGCATTTGTATCAGAGAAATAAGGGGATAAAATAAGCAAGTGTGCAGAACTGGAATCTCCTTGAAGTAGGTTACTATTTAGATGTCTGTTGTAGTAGCTAGCCTTTGAATAAAAAATTCACTTAGTGCAAGCACTCTTACCTGCATGACTAAGAGATCTTTTTCCTATGTTGTTCTAACCTATCACTGCTATACATTGGTACCTGATATTTCCTTTTTGCGATTTACATTGGGAATTTAGTAAACTACATGCATGATGCTCAAAACTTCTAACATTTCTAAAAATCTAAGCCTGAACCACATTAAAGCACTAACACTGCTTATTATGTGAACAAAAATGAGCAATCTCTTGCAAAACAGAATTATCTTCTTATGATAAGATTCCCAAAAGTTTCCTTGTCTAGCTATTTGACATGACAAAGATAACCCATATAATATGTGAAATAAGGACTAATGGACAATATGTAACGCAACTGGAGCAGCCTTCTTACCAAGCAAGCTTGTCCAACTTCTTGTGAGTTTACTTAAGAGATTCACATCCAGTTAAACTACTGCTGTGGGTCCTGTTTTCAGTACTAAGTAGAACATTCCTGAGAGAGGGAATGTTAGATTATGATAATTAATCTTATTTCCAGTGTTATAAATTCTAACCTTTCAACCTCCAAGATATTATTAGGAAATTACCTAGTTCTGAAATACCACTTGATAAAGCAGATCATATCTTAGAATTTTTTTTATTAGGAAACTTTCCTTTCTAGACTAGTTCCATAAAGACACAGGGCATGATCTTGAGAGAGATGCTGAGCACCCACAATTTATTGCATAGCTTGAACCAGTCAATACCAGATGGATTATGAGAAAATATATGGTAGGAAACAAATATGATTTTTTTTTAAATGTGTTGAGGGGGTAGATGGCCTAGCTTAGGACTGGCCAGCCCATGGCACATGTGTCACTAATGACATGGGCAGCTGCTGTGGGTGTTACGTAAGACCTGGGCACTCAGTGAAGGGAGGCACTGAAACAGAGGCAGGAGAGTTCAAGCCCTGGCCATATGGAGCAGGATGCTGGGAGTGGGACACTATTGTGAAGAGGAGGTGTCAGGTGTTACCACCAAAAGTCAAGTTAATTTTTCCCAGGCCCTGCAGCTGCCACTGAATTAAGGGCTTTGGATCCTCATGTATGATACAAAACCGGCGATGGCAGGGCCAAAGAAAGGTTAAGCTGGCTCTTGGCAATGACACCTTTCTCTGTGTAGCGTCCTGTCCCCATCTTGTTTTGCTTGGCTGGAGACTGGAACTCCCCTGTCCAGCACCCCAGGGTGTCACAGCACACTATTAGGTGTGCAGATACTTAGACGATTCACAAGATAAACCCAGAGATTTCAAATAGGATCCCATAATGTCAAAAGCATTCTGACATGTGGTCTTTCTGAATTCTTTGCGACTATTATTTTTCCATAATCAAAACACAAGTAAAAGCTAAGGTATGACATTTTTCAAGGTGCCTTCAAGTCTAAAATGGTTGAAAACACCATTTCTATATGTTTCTGGGGAGCAGGGATAAGAAAAGAATTGTGGGAGGGGGCATAGCTTCATTTGTGGCAAACCTACTAAAAAGGTAGGCTACCGCTGGTCTAACTGGTATTCTGCCCTGTCATTCATAAAGGTAGAGTTTGATTCCTGGTACCAGTCTTTTATTCCTCCTACCTGGAAGGACAGCCAAGTGGTATAAAGGCAACATCCTCAACTCCTATATTTGAGTTTGCTGATATAATTCAGCCAGAAAGATAAATTCTTTTGAAGCAGGGACCTAAATGTAAAGGGAAATTAGAAGACTGGTAGAGACAGTTTTAAGGAGATTATTTCAAGACTTGATGGGCCTAAGTTTTGGAGTATTAAATTTTGTATGTGTGGCTGTGGCTGTGGCTGTTTCCAGAGTCCAATCCTTCTTTGTAAATCACCAGAATACAAGCACAATTGATTACAATAATAAACCACATGACAGAGAGGAAAACATCATTAAAGAAATAGTCTAGTTCAGGATTCACAGCAAATGTATATGGCCTGGGTAAAAAGTTGAGTTTTTTTCAAAATTAAGAAAACTTTTACATTAACCTTGTTACTTCCAACTTTTGGAAGACCAGTTTACTTAACTTTAAGTCCAGTCAGGGAACGCCACATTTAATCCAAGTTAATTTAGGCCTAGTATGAATGTAATGGGATGCTGATGTTTACTATATGTGAAAAAAAAATTATATTGGGGGAAATGTACTGAACTTTGGAAAATCAGTGTAGACCTAAACAGCTTTTGAGAAAATAGAAATATTATCAAAGTATATTCAAATATAGTTTATACAGAAAGACTACGGTGCTTTTAAATCCAAATGGGGATCAACCTATCTATACTTAGTTTTTTGATAGAGTAGATATTTCAGGGATTAACTGAGCTACAAAATGTCTGAAAAAGAAGTATCAGGAGAAAATTTGGTTAGACAGATCCATGTGGAGTATAAAACAACTATGTTTTACTTTGTCATAATATTTGACATTATTATTCTTTAAACTTTACATTATTATTATAATATTTTTGTTTTCCTTCTATGTGTATTTTTTAGATTCACAACCAATATCCAACAGAATTTGAGTTCAATCAGTATTACCTGAAGTTCTTAGCTTTCCACTATGTTTCAAACAGATTTAAGACATTTCTTCTGGATTCAGACTATGAAAGACTAGAGCATGGTATGTGTTTAAGAATGGGATTGATGTTTATTTATTGCATGTAATTTCTTGTGTAAATCTATAGTTTTGCCACTAATATTTAATTCACAGGAATCATTGAGTATGTGGTGGTTCAGGTCTATTGTACTGATGATTAAGCTGCAGCAAACTTGAAACTGAAAAACCTAACATACATTTTTATCTTCATGGAATATACTGGAATGTATTGAATCAATGGCTCTTGAATTATGTTAAAAGGTGGAGAGTGTAAATAGGAGGGAAGGAATGATTACCATTGCCAGGCTTTGCTTCCTTCACTAAAATGTGCACATAACACATTTTCCTCTTCCAATTGCTTGTTCATTAAAGATTTTTTTCAATCTTGAATTGCAGGAATCCTGATATTTATGAAAATGCGTGGAGTTGTTGGAGAGGGGAGTCTGTTTACCCCTTTCTTTTGAACGCCTTTGTTTTTTCCTCCATTCTTCCTCTGTCTCTTGCAGGCTGACTGGTTCCAGCTAAGACCCCTTTCAGCTTTTGCCCCGTGAGAGCCCTAACTTGGTTACACTGATAGGATGAGGGATAAAGTTACACATTGTACTTAAAACATACTAAATCGGTGGACTGTTAAGTAGTGCTAAAGTCAGAAGATGCTGTGAGCAGTTGTACGTTAAGGGTTAATACTATTTATTGTCTGCATAGCCCTAGCGGGCTGGCATGCAGGGGTGTGGCTAGAAGCCAGGACACCTGGACTCTATCCCTGCTCTGGAGGTGGAGGGGGGCTGAAAGCAGTGCATCCTGGGATGCCGGAGGACTACAAATAGCTCATTTTATCTACATTAAGCAGACTGAAGTTATGCTAGCACAATCTAAGTAGCATGGCCCTTGCCTGACATGGCATAACTTTGAGATGCCCAGAGGGCACTTAGCACAAATTAATGAGCTTTGACTTGTAGATGCTTACATTTTAAGGGCTCCTATACACGTGCAGGGAGCCAGCTCCACCATGCTGGAGATCTAGCAAGTCACGGAAATAAACACGCTCCAGCAGACTCTAGCATCATGTGTATCAGTGTTCCCATGCTGAGAAATGGCGGCCGGGCACTTTGAACTAAAGCTCGTTCAATGACCTTTAGTTCAAAGTGCCCCATTGCCATTTTTCAGCATGGGGGATGCTGATACATATGATGCTTGGGTGCTTTTAATTAGTGTGGCTCACTAATTAGAGCGCCCCCCCTGCACCTCCCAGAGCACATGTAAAAATGCCCTAAGTGTCCATAGTTTGGTCAAAGTATGATGTGTAACTTCACCCTGAGTGACAAGCACATAGCTCAGGTTTTTCTCTGAACATGTGCAGTAAGTAAAATGCTAGTGAAATAACTGAATTTTATTTTTTTCATGGAGAATTTGATTTTTTTTCATGGAACCTGATCAATTTTATGCTTTCTGTGAAATTCTTAATAACTATGAAAATAATACAAGTGTAACAGTGACCATCTATGCCATTCCTGCACAAAAAGGATGATTTGTATTTCATTAACTCAGTCATTTTATCACTGTTCTGACCTACCCAAGAGGGTGCTAATGCTTTCACTGCACTCATGGTGAAATATGTCACCGCACTCATGGTGAAAGCATGGCCCAGTGAAGTGAGTAACAAACTACTGCTTACCACGATTTCACTCAGACTCTTTGCTTCCCACTGTGTGCCTCTTCTCAGCTCACATCTTTTGGGACAGTGTTGCAAAACAGCACAGGTAGTCATGGGTTATTGTTTAGTTACAAACATTTTCATGCAATATATATTGCATTGAATTGTAACTAATATGTGGAACTGTAATAATAAATCTAATATAGTTTTAACCTCACTAACAGTACTAAGGTACTTCCGGAAATTTTAACGTAATAATAACATGTAATACAACACACTTTTTAATCAGTTTGGTGTTTTGTCAGCTATGACCTCTGTAATATTGGGCATTTTGGTAATATGTTTTTATTTTTTACACACTTAATAAAAGAAAAACCTCCCAATGTGCTGTTTGTTACATACTGTAAGTCCTTCTTTTTGCTACTATTCTTTTTTGATAGGAACGTTGTTTGAAGATAAAGGAGACAAACATGCCAAAAAAGGAATCTGTATTTGGGAATGTATTGAAAAAATGCACAAAAGGAACCCTGTTTTCTTCAATTACCTCTATGCACCTGTTGAAACAGAGGTATGACATAAGAGAATAAAAGTTTGTATTTGTCTGTATGTTCACCTCTGAATAATTATCTGTTTGGGTATCTGAAATGGCCTGGACCACTTATTTATTATTCTAAGCAGCCTTCCTACAGGCAGCTTAATAAATCAGCATAGTGTCTCATTGGTTTATATTAGCTAGTTATTTAGGAGTTATATCCATTATTTGTAAAGGGCCAGATCCTGAGAAATGTATGCATTCGTGTCTGCCTTGGTGATTTAAGATTAAATTTGGTACTTTTAGATTAATTACACAAGTAATGATTAGAAGAGCAATCTTAAAATTTACGCATGACCATAAAAAGATATTCTCCAAATCGCAGCTGGGGGAAATTGGTTCAAAGTATATATAAATTTATATATGGTACATCCCAATCCTTGACATATTGTATTATATTTTATATTACATTACCTGGTGTGATTGTGCATATTTACTAAATTTTCTTCAGTTAATATTTGTACTGTGACCTATATTGCTCCTATTTAGAAGTATTCTGTAAGCAAAAAGTACTTTATCATGAACTATATTTATCCATCTTTAAATTCAAGCTTTGAATAAAATATTGGGGTTGCATAGCAAAACACAGATTAATAACTGTGCACTCTGTTTCCTGTATGTTTTTAATGGTCTCTGTAAACTACTGTAATCTTTGTTAATTAACTTTATAAATAGAAATACATCAATTAGATTGAACTATACCAGTTTAATCTTCACTACATTTAAACATCATTGTAAAACTCTGAATCCAGTCCAGCACTGAATAGATGCTTGTAGCTATCAACATACATTGGAGCCATATTTGCATATACAGAGTGTCTATACTTCCTGCCCAACGGTATTAGAGATGGTGAGTTCCCACCTGCTCCTCCCTCCATTCATCATTTTGGCATCCAGGTGTTATAAGACTTTGTAGTAGTAACAGAGAGAAGCGGGCAATGTGCTTTTAAGAACCAGAGTTTAATTATAGCCTAGCCCACACAGCAGAGTTTTGCCAGCATAGCTATAGGTGTGTTAAAAGGAGTAGGTTTGTCAGAAGTACTGAGCCGTGTAGCCCACGTAGGTATGCTGTCAAACCTTGGAATGGATGCAGCTCTGTGGACAGAAGGATGATTTTATCAGTTCCCTGTATTTTGTATAGCGAGGTGATGTAGCTGCAGTCAGAGAAAAAAATCCTGCCAGCAACGTGCCATGTGTTCACTAGGGCCCTCTGCTTGATAATAGCTATTCCAGCACAGCTAGGAGGAGAGGCTCTGCATTATAAACAAGCCCTGTTTCTTCTTTAGGTTCTTCTCCATCTGTGTTCTGCTGTTGCAAACCTGAGAACAGAAGAGAGAGACTAAGAGGGTCACCCATTTCTTTCCCATGGTCCAGGGAACTTGCAGTTAGGAGTTTCTTACTTTTTACTCCTTACTTTTTATGGTCTCTTCTATCCCTTACACTCTAAATAAATAGATACTTAGCACCCAGACAGACAGTAATTTAGGGTTAACATCAGATATTTTGATAGTGTATTCTTTCTTTTTTATACACAAATAAACTTTCTTTTGATCATCAGACTGTCCTGGTACCAGGCTTCAAAATAGCCATTCAGTTGAGAAATATGGGGTAAAGAAAAAGTGGTTTTAAGTTGTTGTTGTTTTTAAAAAAAAAAGATGCTTACATTTAAATAATGTACAAAGTGTGCATTTTGCTTTATTAAAATAAGTCTGCTTAAAATTTGATTTGAAACTATGACAATCTCTGTTCAGGCCTTAATTTACTGAAATCTATACAAATCATGTGAATTGATTTGTAGCTTGATAGAGGAATGGAGTCCAGTCATATCAACAACAGAGACCTTCTAGTTGCATTTCCTCATGCATAAAACTGCTATGAAATTGCCAATTTAGACCCACCACTGAGTGCGACAGCCAGTAACGTCAATGGGATGGGGAAATTAGGTCAGCCTGGCAACTGCAATCAGCATGGTAGCAACTGGCGCTGCCCTGGGCTGCACAACTGTCCTGGACTTGAAACTGCACTGCTACACCTCTGGTGACAGTTCACTCTCTTCAAGCAATTCTTGTCACTTCTTTTGAACACAAGAGATATGTGGTGCAGTTACTTGGGGTTCCATACCTACATTTACTTAGCCCTACTCCACAGCAGAAGAACCAAGATCAAATGCCAATTTTCTGTTGGACTACCTACCCTACAAGCATTGTTTAAGTAGCCTACTAGCACAAATATGCTGATCAAATCCACTGCTTATGAGTCAAAAACAGTGAAATGAACAGACACTATAAGACAAAGAAAGGCTCTGTTACTCTAAACTTTAACTGGGGCTGAGTGAGACTGATGACCAGTGAGACTATTCCAGTCACAACTCAAAAACTTTATTAGGATACACAGTAGCAAAGACTTGTTTGTATTAGTAAAGATAGTATTTATGTAGCCTTGGATTCAAGGGGAAAACAGGTCCACTGGCCAGGCTTCTCTGTTCTCTTGGGAACTTTTGCTGATTCGGTGTCTCCTTTTTTGCTGAGCTTCAGAGAAGTCTGAAGGCATAAGCCAGGTACAGACATTACGCTTTTACCAGGATAAGGGGTCAAAAACTGGTCTATAACTGTAATGCAACAGAGGTTCAGCATACAAAACCAGTCTATACCCATAATAGAAGAGAAGTTTGGTGCACACAGACTGGTTTAAAAATGGCAGAACCTAGTCTATGATTTGTGCCCCCCCACCCGACCAAAGGACAAATGTGTGTTCTGTTCGCTACTAATCTAAACTATGCCACTTACAGAAAACTGCATAACTTAAATCAGTTCCGCCCAGGGCTTTTTGAATGTCTGTACCTGGCCATATAGTTTAACCACAATTATATATTTAACATAGAGTTTTCCATATTTGATTATGCTTTTGCAGCTACATCAATCCTTTTTCATTTTACAGAGTTAACACAGTTTTTCCATATTTGGTTATCCTTTGGAGCTATGCCAGTTCTTTTCCACTGCCTTTATTATATTAATACACATTATCACTGTTTATAATGCATGCTTAATTTATGTTAGCTCAAACCTAGGTCAGGTCATGACACAGCCTGTTACTCATAGCCCATACTGCACATGGCCTACAATGCATGTGTGGCCTACAGCTCATTTACCTTTGAAATATGTTGTCCATCTGTACTGTGAAACCTCCCTTCCTTCTCTGCTACTGCAGACTCCTATAGCGCCTGGATTCTGCATTAAGAAACAGTTGGGATGGTCTTGCTATTTTTTAGGGGTGTGCGAAACGGGCCATGTTTGATTGGGATTCAGCCCAAATCAGGGACAGTGATTCAATTTGTTGATTTGGATCATTGTGCCTGATTCAATTCAGCCAGATCCAAATCTGAAGATTCTATGCTGATTTGGAGAACCAGCAATTCAGACATAAACACAGCTTTAAATGTTTTTTCTACATATCTCAAGGTACTAGGCGCAGCTCATGAACGCTGTGATGGTGGGGTGGGTGGAGCGTCCTACAGGAGCATGGGGGGGGAACCCTGCGTGCTCAGCAGCAAACCTGGAAGAAGACCAGAAGTACTTCCAGTCCACTTCCGGGTCTGTTGCCAAGCATGTGGGGGGCCTCCCCCCCGCAACCTCCCAGCTTGGCAGTTGGCCACAAGGGGACCCTGAGTGCCCCCCCAGACTCAGGAGGCACCAGTCGCTGAGCCGTGGTGGTGTGGGGGGCCCCCCAGGGCACTCCCTGCCAGACCCAGAAGTGGACCAGAAGTGCTCCATCCACTTTATCTGCCCCACCATCTCAGCATTTACAAGCCACCTGGTACCTTGAGGTATGTAGAAAAAACATTTAAAGCTGTGTCTATGTCTGAATCATCGAATCTTTCTGAATCTCTCTGAATCGATTTGGAGGGATTATAAGGTCTTCTGATTCAGTTCAGATTTGGAGATTCGGTCACCGAATTGGGCCAAATCTCTGCCGAATTGAATCAGCGACCAAAGCTTCACGCAGCCCTACTATTTATGTAGAAGACTTGAAGACAAGTAGGGCATAGGTACAGGCCCAACAGATGCTGCTATCTAAAATAATCCAAACTAGAATCTATTAGAAGTACACACAGACTATAAATGTTAAAGAACAAAAACTGAAGACCTCCATGTAATATTATGATCTTTGTAAACATCTTTCAAATAGGCTTTAAAACCAAATATAAATATGTCCAACCTGAGAAAATGGGATTATTATGTTGAAGAGACCTTGGCTATGGGACCTTCCTATGACTGGACCATGGTTACTTCAAAAGGCAGTGCTTTGGAGGAAGGTGACCAAATGGATGGTTCTGTTTCCCAGAGTAAGAGGAAAATAGTATGGCCATGCTATGATGATGTTAGCAAAGTACAGCCTGATGCAATCACCAACCTCTTAAATGTAAGTATATATACTAATCAATTAAATGCAAGAGCAGATGTTAGTAGAGGACACTGCTTTTATTACATTCATCAAATTCATATCCAGTTTTTTATTTTACTTATTGCCCTGTAGATGTACTGTAAGAAGATCACGCTGACTGTAAAAGCACATATTTGGTAACAGTAGTTCGTTTGGCTTGAGAAGAGATGTTGGGTTCAGAAAGTTAATCAAACATCTTACAAAAGGTTATATTATTCTGGATTAATGCCGTTCTGTAAATAGTTTTTGACAGCAGTCAATAATCAGGCAATTAAAATGGAGGTAACGTTTTATTCTCTAAAGCTAGACCTTTTATATTCTTTCAGTGTCCTTTTAAAATAATAAAATAACTTGCCTTATAGATTTTCTGACAGTCTTTCCCCAGGGTATTCAGCATTGTAGCTGCATATTTCACAAGGTATGTCATTTTATTTGGGGCTAACCCTGGATTTATCTTTCTATTCCTATTCACCATGTAATTTAAAGCAGATGTAGTGTAGGTGTCTCCAGCCCAGTTCCTCAAAGTATTTAGGCACCTAGGGCATCTATACACGTGTTTGTGGGGGGGAGCATTTTAATTAGAGCAGCTAATTAAAACGATCACAGCTTCTCATGTATTCAGCATCCTGTGCTCCAAAATGGTAGTGGGGGCACTTTAACTAAAGCTCATTTGTTGAGCTTTAGTTAGTGCCCCCACCACCATTTTGAAACTCAAGGACACTGAATACACATTAGAACGCTCCAGCAGTCTGCTCTGACAGGTTCTAACTAGAACACATCAGAGTAGGCATCCCTCGTGTACAGGCACCCCTAATTCCTGTTGATGTCAGTGATAGCATAACACCTAAGTAACTTGAGGATATAAGCCTAAATGTCTGTGCATAGTTCATAGTGTGTTTTCTAGCTTTCTGAAAAAAGCAACCCCTGGGGAAATGACTAGCTTTCACCAAGCTTTATTCAAGAACCTTCCTGGGTTCCTTTTTGGAGCATTCTTTGGCAGTGTGGTTGGGCAAACGAATACTGCCTAACAAAAGATAAAAGTTTTACCTATGAAGTTCCCCTCTTCTCTTCTCTGCAGAGGGTGGAAGGAATTTCACAAAATCGGGGAAAGGCGTCTAACAAATAGCAGAGGTCATATGAAGGTATCTTAAACAGAAAACAGAGAGCTTTCACCCTTGGTTTTTGAAAGGCCAGCTGTACATACTGAAGGAATGCAGCATAGTGAACTTTCTGCACTTGTGTATGGAGTATATATGCCAAACTTTCCAAATCCACAGATCTAAGAAACTGTCATATTGTGTAGCTAGTTCCCCCTGTTGTATTCCAGTGAATAGTGGGTCAGGTTTTCTAAAGTTAAAATGTCATCTGCTATTTAGATTACTCTAATAAAAGGTAGAAATACAGAAGAACATTTGAGTAACTGTGAAGAGTTGGTGAGAAGGTTATAAAAATATGGAACTAAGTTGAGAAAGAAAAGGAACATTTTGTTCATTTAGGAGTTGCACTGATGTAGGAGGAATACATCTCTCTCAAAAATCCATTGAGAATATGTCTGTACCTAAAGCCTCTTCAAGCAAACATCATGTTTAACTATGTCAAACTATTAGGGAAGATTGATTCCAGGTTTATCTATAATAATAAGCTCAATTGTTTTTGTTCTTAAAGAAAAATGTAAAATATTTGGGGATTGAAAAGGAAAGTAATGCTCTAGCAAAACTGAAATGCAGTAGTCCACTGGTTTGGTATACTTTTAATTCAGACTTCCTTTGCTAGTATGCTATGCTTCTGTAGTAGGAGCAGAAGCTATAATTTCACAGCAGTAAATCTTGTGGTTCTGAAACTGGGCATTTAATGATCCACCATCAGCCAGGTATTTATGATGACTTAGATTCCCACAAATCATCATATCGGGTTGTAGGAACACACAGTCTGTGCAATGTATTCACTAAGTTCAGACTGCTGAATTGGGTTCTGTCCTGCTAAGGCAAACAATCATAAGCCTCATTTTTTTAAAAGTCTCAGGTAATAAAATGAACTTTAAAAGATACATTTTTGTTTCTCAAGCCACTCCTGCCCAAAGACAGAAGAGAAAAATGAGCTGCTTTATCCATCTGTTAAATCTTCTAAAATGTTCATAAAAAGCAGGGTTCCTGAAACAACAACTAAGAAAGAAAATTGATTCCAAAGGAAGCTGCTGCTCCTCAGAAGGAGAACTTCCTGGAAGAACAACAGCTCTCTGAATCAGGCAGATGTAATATTTGAAGTATATTGCTGGTAGTATAACCTACGCAGAAACTCCTGAACAGATATTGGAATGCTGTGCCCCTGAAAAGCAGAAAGCTCATAGTGCTGACTCTGAGCACCTAGGGGACTCTTCTGCACACATATCAGCAAGCTCTGTGAGCTCCTGGGTGAAGTTACATGATAAAATAATAGAATCATAGGAAGTTAGGGTTGGAAGAGACCTCACGAGGTCATCTCGTCCAACCCCCTGCTCAAAGCAGGACTGTGATCTCTGGGGCCTTACATATTGCATGGCCAGTCGGGTACATAGCCCCTCCCCTCAACTTTTCTGCCCTGACTTTGATGTTAAACTGTCAAGAGAAGGGGTTCAGTGGAGATCTTCCTGGGGGGGCCTCCCAACAAACGGCAGTACTCACGATTGCTTAGCACAATGTTCCACGGGGCTCCGCATCCCCTACACCCCGTCCACTCACCAACCAGATGGGTGTCAGTATAATGCTGATTGCAGCCCTGTGGGGGTTTCCTGTAGCTTGCTTCAAACGGAGTCCCACGTCTGAGGGACTCAGTTGACTCTCATCCCTCCAGCCTCGGAGGACAGCCTGCATTTCTCTAATCTCTTTGGTTTTCCCTTTTTGGTTATTTTCTTCAAAAGAAATAATCTAAGGAGGAGAGGACTGTGGAGCTGCCTCCTTTACTCCAGCCTCCTCCAGTGGGCTCAAATGCCTCCTCTGCCCTGCTGCCTGCAGGGAGCTTAAATGCTTCCTTTAGTTTGCCTTCAGCGGGGAGCTGGAGGGCTTCCCCTGCTCTGTCTCCTACAGGGGGCTGAAAGGTTTCACCTGCGCTGCCTGTGGGTGCCGTGCAGGCTGTGCTGCTCCTCTCCCTCTCCAAAGCCTCAGCACATCTAGCATGCTGCCCACCAGCACACTCTCTCTCTGGCTTTCCCTCTGCCCTGGTTCTGGCAAGGCTTTTAAACTTTCCCGCGGCAGCCAGTATGGCTGCCGCAATTGGTCCAGCTGTTCCCCACGCAGGAAACAGCTGATTAAACAGCCAGCATAACGCCAGCTTGTGCGCCGGTCGCCACGCTCCCAGCTCCTGCTCTGGCTGCCCGGCAGGAAGTAAGTTATCTCCACTGGGGGTCTTTTCCCGGGGTTTGGGGCCCACAGGGAGTACCCTCCCCTCTTCGGGAGCCTGTGATGGCATCTTGCCACCTAAAGGACCAACCACATCATCCCAGCCAAAGCTTTGTCTAGCCAAGTTTTGAAAACCTCCAAGGATGGAGCTTCCACCACTTTTCTGGGTAACCTGTTCCAGTGTTTTACTACCCACCTAGTGAGAAAATTCTTCCTAATATCTAACCTAAACTTCCCTTGCTGCAACTTGAGCAGTAGAGTCCGGTGAGTGATGTGCATTCTCCCTCAGGAGGAGAGGGGGACCAGGAGCAAAGCAAGCTGGGATACTGGATGACTGTGCTGTGGTTTCTCTTAGATGAGAAAATGTATGGGCATTTGCTTTCCCAGGCCACATACAGACATTTGGTTTCTCCTGGGAGAGTTGCTGATCTCCCAGTAGAATCCACAAGTGTATAGATATTCAGGATTTTTTCTTACAGAGCAAAAATGGCCACTCCATGACAAAAATAACCTGGGAACAACCCCAGTTAAATCGTTCCCTGGGAGATAAAATGTCTGTACTCATTTCATTTTGAGGAAAACCACAGCATAATCCTTCAGCATCTCAGGGTGCTTTCTCCCACTGTGCCCCTTTCCCCCTTCCTCCCCCCCAACCCCCAGAGACAGTGTGTGACCAGGCTGGATTCTACTGCTCCAGCTCAGCAGGGAGCAAAAGGCATTCACTTTGCAAGCCCCACATTGTGCTGTAGGGAAATACAGGCTGACCCTTACGCAGCCACATACATCCTATAAAGTACTCCAAAAATGGCTGAAGTGCTCCAAAAGTAATCCTTGATGAAACAACAGCCATTTTGAAGCATTTCATTTTAAACAACTTCCAGTTTTGCCTGTATGCTCTACAGAGTGTGTCAGGGAGTTGTTTGGTTCTCCGGCATCCCACGGTGCCTCACTTCACCCTCCCCCCTCCCCCCCCAACAGGACATAGCAGGGTACACAACTAGTGTGCATTCTTCTGTGTACTTGGCCATCCATGGGGAGAGCTGGAATCCCTGCATGCCTCTGCCTCCAGTCTCCCAGTTCTGTCAGGGAGTGCAGGACCTCCAGTCTCCTGGTTCTGGTGGCAGTGCTTGGTCAGCCTCAGCAATCTCTCTGGAGACTGAGTTGTGCAAGGAATGATTCTTTTCAGCCCTGGGCCTAGAGAACATGATTTCTTGCATGCCTCTCAGCCTCTGCAACCTGGAAACTGAGCACACAGAACACTTATTGGCCGTCTGCCCTGCTCCCCCCGATGCACCTCCTGGCTGGAAAGCATTCCTCAGTGTACTGTCATAGCCATTTTGGAGTGCTCCATTCGGGGGGTGGGGGACTGCATGTCTGTCTGGCCTGAAGTGCTCTGAATTCGACATGTGGAGTTTGGAGTACTTCAAATATATGACAGTTCAAGGCCTCCAACAGTGAAAATCAGGAACAGGGTACTTAAAGGCTTTTTACCCTCCCTCAAGCCTCACAACTGACTTTTGTGACACTGGCCATGTCAACACAAGACGCTGACTACACAGTAGCTCATTATTACTGTGCAGTAGCATCGTGTGGCATGAAGCGTGA